AACTGAACAAACCATGATGAATTATATCTTAAGAGGTGGGGGGAAAAGCCTACTCCTGTTAAAAGTTTTAAAATGGAAGTGACGTCGGGACCAGTAGGTAGCATAGAGGTTAAGGCAGCTAGATTCCAAATGGCTATGTGGTTTTAGTCCTGAGACGGTGGGTTGAAAATCATGCCAGGTGCATTTGTGTGTGTGTGCACCCAAAAATCCTGTTAAAGAGAATGGAGAAGGGATTGTGGTATGTCCACCTCCACCCCCCAAGGAGTGATTTCTCACTCTCTTTCTCTCTCTCTCTCTCTCTCTCTGAGAGCACATATCTCATAGCAAAACTATAAAGAAAGAAAGAGAGAGAGAGAAAGAGAGAAAGAAAGGTTAGTGGGAGTGACATCAAACCTTCCATAATCCCCTCGCGTGGAGCACATATGTACTCTAGAAAAACAGAAAGGAAAGGAAAGGGAGAAAACATCCCCTAAGGGGAATGGCCATGCCACAATTCCTTCTCTTCCATTTCTCCTTTTGGGATTTTGAGTACACATATACACATGCCTGGAGTGTTTTTTAAGCTTCCAACTCTGGAATTTGAACCCAGCAGCAGACCACATGGGACCAGTAGCTGGTCCAAGTTACACTTCATTTTTAAAAAATCAATGAATAGGGGCAGGGTCACACCATAATCTCTTTTTCGTCACTTCTCATCCAATAGGAATTTGGAGCATGTACGCTCATGCATTTTTCAAGCCACATGCACCAGAATTTGAACTGTGTGGTTGGCCATGTGAGATTAAGCTCCCTTAACCACCAGCCCATGGAGCCAGCAACCCCTTTCATAAATTTTTAATTAGATTTTTTTGAGTACTCATGACCTGAGGTTTTTGCTGTAGTTCTTTATTTTTGTGGTTTTATAATTTTATTTGAAAATCAGTCATCCACATTGACTGCAGATTTTTGAAAGTGGTAACAGGTGAATAGGGTCATCATCATTACGTTTTCTGGACCACCACACACAGATACGATATGGACATTCCTTTAGCCCACACAGCTTTGCTGAGCTCGTATCAATGCACATACCTGGAGTCCCTTCGTGGAAAATTTCCATCTCTCTCTGAGTGCTCTAGGGGCACATTTCTTGAAGCCCATCCCATGGATGTGCTTGTGAATGTTAATGGTGTATTCTAGGGTCACCACCTTGTTGATGGCAGAACGGCCCTTCTTACCACCCTTCTTTGAAGAAGCCATTCTGCCCGGCCCAAGTTGGAAAGCTGAAATGACTTTTTATTTTATTTTTTTAAAGTTATTTTATTTAACTTTATCTATTGATTTATTTTAATTTGGTCAGAGAGGGGGATAGAGAGAGAGAGAGAGAAAACGGCCAGGTCCAGGACTTGAACTGTGGTTGGCCATGTGGGAGTTCGGTGCCCTTAACCACCATGCCACCTGGCGGCACTGAGATTGCCTTTTTAAATGAAGTATAACCGGGCCAGCTAGTGCCATGGTGGTTAAGGTGGCTGGATCCTACAGGTCTGACTGCACAGTTTCAGTTCCAGACCCAGCAGCTTGGAAAACACACCAGGCACGTATGTGTGCATGCCCAAAATCCCAAAAGGAAAAATGGAGGAGGAATTACAAGATGACTATCCTCCTGGGGAGGGTGCTTTCTCTCTCTCTCTCTCTCTCTCTCTTTCTTTCTCTCTCTTCTCTAGTGAGCACATGTGCCCTCTGGCAAATGTTAAAAAAAAAATGAAGTATAATTTGAAAATATAAATTTTCCTTTTTTTAGAGGTTTTGCCTGAGGGTGAGTGTACATGCTGGAGAGAGATACGCAGAGATCTGAGAGAAAAATGAGAAATCACGTCCTGGAAGGAAGGCAATGCTGAAATCCCTTCTCCCCATTCTCCTCCCAGGATCTTGGACACACATGCACATGTGCCCAGTGTGAGTTTTAGGCCACCGGTCCTGGACATACCACAGTTGGCCATGTGGAAGTCAACTGACATAACCATTATGCCATCTGCTGGCCCTGAAAAAATATTTTTTCTGCTAGAGGGTCCATGTGCTCGCCAGAGAGAGGGAGAGGAGAAAGCTCCCTCCATGATGAATGGTCATACCACAATCCCTTTTCCTCCATCTCCCACCCATTTCAGGATTTTGGGCATGAACATATATGCAGCCAGTATGTTCCTCAAGTCATGGGTCCAGGACTTGAACCACTGTACCATGTGGGATCCAGCTACTCCAACCACCAGACCATGGAGCCAGACCCCCCCTCAAATGTTTTTAATGCTTAAAAAAAATGAAGTTTAGGACTAGCAGGTGGCATGGTTAAGGTGCTGGATTCTCACATGGCCAACCATGGTTCAAGTCCCAGACCCAGAAGCTTGAAAATCTTGTGACATATATGGGCACAAAAGCCCAAAATCTTGAGAAGAAAATGGAGGAGAAGGGATTGTAGTGTGACCATACCCTCTAGGGGGTGATTTCTCACTTTCTGTCTCTCTGTCTCTGTCTCTCCAGCGAGTGCACATGCCCTATAGCAAAAGTCTTGCTAAAAAAAAAAAAAAAGATGGGGCTGAGGGTGGCATGGTGGTTAAGGGCACTGAACTCCCACATGGCCGACTGTGGTTCGAGTCCCACACCTGGCAGCTTATTTCTCACTTTCCCTCTCTCTCTCTCTTTCTCTCTCTCACACACACTCTCTCCTATCTGGTCAAATTAAAATAAATAATAAAGTTAAATTAAAAAAATTTTTTTAAAAAAGAAATGTGATGAAAATTATGGATACTCTCTCCCCAGAAAGAGATGAACTACTTTTTCATGTTCTTCCAGGAAGATTCACTGAAAGACCTCTGAAATCTGAACACATATCTTCTAATATATTCTTCTACAATGTGCCAACAGAAATCCTTCTTAGATTTCTCACATCTGCCAACCAGCAGGCTTCTTCTGCTTTTCTTTTAGTCATAATTGAAGTTATAGCCTTTGTTAGTTCCTCAGCCTTGAATGCCAATCTTATCTCCTTCCTCCCTCCCATCTTGCTCCGTGCTTCAGTCTACAGAGCAAAAATATTTGACTCAAATAGTCCTGCCTTCAAATCCTGGCTCTATTACTTTCTAAATTACCCTCACCCTGGCCAGGTATGTACAACTCTGAGCTACCTATTATACTTATACATATATTTATATTTATATATAACATCATTTATTAATATATTTTCTTTATCAGCAATACGAAACTATCAAATGTTTATTTTCTCTAACCCCACCAGGCCCAATCCAAGGAGTAGGTATCATTCTTCCTCATAGAAATTTGCCACCTGATAAGAATTTACCAGATTGGGACCAGCAGGTGGCGTGGTGGTTAAGGCGCTGGACACTCCCACATGGCTGACCATGGATGGAGTCCCAGACCCGGTGGCTTGCTCTCTCCCTTTCCCCC